TAACTCTGACCCACAGTGGTCATGTCCATTGCCACAGAGGCCACGCCCCTGCTGCGGAGGCCATGCCCCCTGTCATGCTGTAGGTGGTGTGCTGACTGGGGGGGGTCACCCACCTGGGACAGTGAGAAAGCCACAAGCGCTGGAGGATGGTGTAGGGATGGGCAGGATGGTGGTGAGGGAGAGAGTGGGGGTTAGGGTTGAAGGGGTTACCTGGGACCCAGGCACTGGAATGACGGGCTGGGGTCTGGTCATCTACCTGGTACAGGGAGCAAGCCGCAACCGGCACTGGAGGAGTGCGAGGGGGCGGGCAGAATCTGCATTTTTGTTCTATGTGTCTACTCTGCTACACTAAAATATATCTAATACAAATAATATCTAATACAAATATATGCATGTATTTATATTACTCATCATAAAATTGCTAAATTTTCCACCAATTGGTATAACTGATATTATATATTATTACTCTGTATTTTATAATGTAAATTATCTGGTACATTGTTTTATGAGTCACCATCCTCCAGCGCTTGTGGCTTTCTCACTGTCCCAGGTGGGTGACCCCCCAGGCCAGCTCACCACCTACAGCATGGCAGGGGGCATGGCCTCCGCAGCAGGGGCGTGGCCTCCGTGGCAATGGACATGACCACTGTGGTCCAGAGTTATTTTCCCCATTCCCAGCAGTCTGGACTCACATCTAAATCTTCATCACCTAATTCCGTGAAGAACATCCTAGCTATCTCAAACACAATAAGTCAATAGTCCACTAGTAGTCTATTCCAATTTCACCAAAATACTGGTGGGTGAACACAAGAAGCTGTACAAGTCCAATATAAAAGAACACATCCTCTGAAGTTTCGCTAGAGGCCTCAGATAAGTCACAGAGGAACACCTGAGAGGAAAGTCATCTTCGTTATCTACGCACCAACATCTAATTATGATGAAAGAGAAATCGAGAAGTTCTACATGGAGCTAGAGAAGTTCTATAAAGAAGACAACACCTTCTACAAGATCATTGTGGGTGATTTTAATGCCAAGATAGGACCGAGAAGATCAGCTGAAGAACTTCACATCAGGATCCATGGCCTAGAATGGAACGAACAGGGTGAGAGACTGTCTGAGTTCATCATGTCGACCAAGACCATTCATGGTAACTCACAGTTCCAGAAGGCAGAATCTAAATGATGGACATGGGAGTCTCCCGGTGGACGTTTCCACAACGAAATAGACCACATCATATTCAATCGATGGTTTTGCCTGACCGATGTCGCTGTTGTCCCAAAATTTTGAACGGGATTGGACCACCGTCTCCTTCGTGCAAAATTCTACTTCACAGAGCGGGGAGAAAGGGCTGCAAAGTTCAAAAAGAGAACTCCCAGAATGACCACCAACTGGGAACTCTTTGGTAGTATTGCGGCAACATGGGAAGATGCCATTGTTGACAACATTGACGAGGAATACGATCGACTGGTTCAGCACCTCCATGAATGTGCGAGGAACGTCAAGAGAGAGATAGCCACAAAAAATCGCCTATCTTCGAAAACTCTTGAGCTAATTCGCCAGCGTGGTTTGGCTCATGCCTCAGGCAACCGCAAGCTAACGTCTGAGCTCGCAAAGCAGTGCAGAGATGCGATCAAGGAAGACCTCAAAGAGAGAAGAGCAGAAGTACTGGTAGATGCGGCAGAAGCCGGGAAAAGTATTCCTTACGCCCGCCTGTCCTTCGCCAACTACAAGAACAAGATGAGTGCCCTCCGACGTCCTGATGGATCCATCACATCCTCCAGAACGGCAATGGAGAAGATTATCCATGACTTCTACTCAAATCTCTTCGACAGCCATGTCCACTTGCCAACACACCAAATTCCACAGGATGGATATGTCGTTCCCGATGTTCTCCCTTCCGAAATCCGACACGCCATTTCGTTGGTAAAGAAACAAACAGCACCCGGCCCAGACAAGGTCAGACCTGAACACCTGAAAAACCTGCCGTCAGTACTCATCAATACACTGGCTCGGCTCTTCACTCGCTACCTGTCTGAATGCAAGGTTCCGTCCCAATGGAAAACCAGCAGGACCGTACTACTGTTCAAGAAGGGAGACATCCATGACATTGGCAACTATCGCCCCATCTGCCTATTGTCTGTCATCTACAAGTTGTTCACTTGAGTCATCCTAAATAGGATTGGCAGAACACTAGATGAAGGACAACCATGCGAGCAAGCCGGGTTCCGCAAAGGATTCAGCACCATCGACCATATCCACACGATAACCAAGCTCATTGAAGTTTCTCGGGAGTTCAAGATGCCGCTCTGTTTAACGTTCATTGATTTAAAGAAGGCCTTTGATTCTGTTGAGACAGAAGCGGTCATTGAAGCCCTAGCCAATCAGGGCATTCAAGCCCAATACATCAGGATCCTCCGTGAACTGTATTGCGGATTCACTACCAGGATCTCACCATTCTACAAAGAAGTGATCGTTGATGTCAAGGGAGAGTTGCGGCAGGGTAATACCATTTCACCGAAACTCTTCAGTGCCACCCTCGAGAACATCATGTGACGACTGGAATGGGAAGGAATGGGAGTGAAGATAGATGGTCGGCAACTACACCACCTCCACTTTGCTGATGACATTGTTTTAATAACACCAAACATCAGCCAAGCGGCACAAATGCTGGCCGACTTTGACCGTGAGTGTGGAAAGGTAGGACTACAGCTGAATCTTACGAAGACAATGTTTATGAGAAACAGCCTCGTTCCTGACGCCCCATTCGCTCTCAACGGAACGACCATCTCCGAATGCAACAGCTATGTGTACCTAGGTCGAGAGGTCAACATGACAAATGACCTGGCACCCGAGCTGTGCAGGAGGAAGAGAGCGGCTTGGAACGCCTTCAAGAACATCAAAGAAATAGCTAAGAGGACGAAGAACCTCCGGGTCTGGGCACATCTCTTTGATTCCACTGTTCTTCCTGCATTAACATATGCCTCAGAGACCTGGGCCCTACGCAAACAAGATGAGAACGCTATTCAGGTCTCCCAAAGAAGAATAGAAAGAGCTATGCTTGGAAATCACGTTTCACTCAAATGAGAGAAAGAATCCGGAGTTCTGACATCCGTCAACGATCAAGAATCAGGGATGCTGTCTCATTTGCCAAGGTGTCTAAAATCAGATGGGCTGGTCACGTAATGAGATTTAAAGACGACCGCTGGACTAGAGCTGTTACTGACTGGATTCCACGGGATGTCAAAAGACCGCGTGGTCGCCCACCTACCAGATGGTCAGACTTCTTCGTCAAGATCATGAACGATCGGTTTGAGGCCCTTCATGTTCCCGGAGCGAACAGATGCCATTGGGCTACACTAGCACGCGACAGGGACAAATGGAGACGTTACTGGCACCCGCTCAAGCAAATCGACGACTAACGGGAAGTTAAGTGATAAAGTGTGATTGATTGTTTTATGTTTTACACTTCTCAGATTACCAGAAATAATAAAGATAACTTTTAATCACAATTTATTATTTTTATCATATTTATGTGTTAATTTTTAATCAAATATTTATTACTAGATATTTTATTCATTTTGACACTTTAAATATTCATGTTATGGTATTCTAAAAATTAAAAATATTTTCTTTTACTATAAAATTACTCTCGAATTCGATATGCCAAACACAGTAACAACAAGTCGCACAATGTTACTGGGCCCGCTCGAGCAAATCAATGAAGAACGGGAGGACAGTGACAGTGACAGTGATAAAATTACTGTCTTAAGTGAAAGACAATATTAAATTGTAAGCACTGTTTCTAGTAAGCACTGTTTCTATCTTACTCTTTGCTTCTCCTGTAAGAGGTTTGTAATTTTGTTTTCACTGAAGTTACCGATAATAAGAAATGCAAGATTTTTGTTAGTACTCCTTTTTCTTTGAGATCCTGATGATTCATGCTTTCTCTATTTAAGGAAACAAATTTTTATCAAGTAACATAGGCATTTACCCCAGAGAGGACTAATATTTCATGTGTTTCCCCAATGGGGCAGGTTTTGGTGAACCTGGATAACTCCTGGTGATATTAGGTCCATAGTAAAAGCCTGATGGTTTGACTGTTGTGCCTGGTGGTGCAGTACTTCTCAGGTCCAGCATTGCTCTAGGGCCTCCAGAGTAATGTTTGGAGGAATATTTAGTGCTGAGAATCAAACTAAGTGGCACACATATGTGAAGCAAGTGTTCTACTTCCTTGCTTCTTCTTAGCATACTTTTATAACTGGGTACATGTTTGCAATGTCTGCACCTCTGTATCTCTCAAAATGTTTGGCATAGAAGATGAAAGATTTTTTCATAAGTTTTGAAAATATTTCTCTAAACTCATTAAGGTCTCATTTTCCCAAACATGGATACTCTGAAATTGAGCAATGATGTTTAAATTTTTTAAAGGCATTACTCACCATAATAAACTCAAGTTTTATTTTTTAAATTTTGGTCCACTCCTGACTATGCTCAGGGTTTACTCCTGCCTCTGCACTCAGGTATCACTTGTTGGTGACATATGGGATTGTGAGGATCGAATCTGGGTTGGATGCATGCAAGGTAACTTTACCTACTGTTGTTCTGGCCCCATGAACATACATTTTGTGGAGTATTATGCACCCATTCGAAGGGGAGTGCCACACCTGGTAGTGCTGGGAATATACCCATCATTCTGTGCTTAGGGCTCACTCCGGGCAGTGGTTGAGGGACCACATGGCTCCAGGAATTAAAGCTGTGTTGGATGGGTGCAGCACAAACATATTAATCCTGGTAATAATCTCTCCAGCCCATTTTTCTACTTTATAATTATTTGAAGCATAATTTATTTGGATAAGATTCTGTGTGAAAACAGATTGCATAAATGAACATTAAATAATATATGAAGAGTTTCTGACATACATGAGGTTATTCATCAGGATCAATTAATATACAAGTTGTATAAATTTATCACACTGAAGCATTCTAATGGGTTTTCTCTCCTATAGGATTTCTTTAGTGTGTAGAGTTAATTTCCCAATGAGGGCTCTGACACCATTCCGGCATTCATAGGGTTCTCTTCTATATGAGTTCTGAGGTGTACAATGAGAGCTAGTTTCATACTAAAGGCTTTCCAACAGTTACTACATTTATATGATTTTTCTCCTGTATAAATTCTTTGATGTTAGATGAGAGTTGACTTCCTAATGAATTCTTTCACACAGTCACTGCATTGGTAGAGGCATGTATGGATGTTCTGATGTTTTATCAATGGAGAATTTTCATGGCAGGCTTTTCCACATATTCTGCATTCATAGTTTCACTCCAGTATAAGTTTTATGATGACATAAAGGCATAATTTCTCACTGAAAGTCTTTCCACATATACTCCACTCATATGGTTTCTTTATTGTGTGAATTCTCTGACAAACAGAAGGGTGAGCCTTTCCCTTGAAACATTTTCCACATTACTGTTTCCAAAAGGTTTATCTTTTGAGGAATATCTCTGGTCTTTAGTAGAGATTGGCTTCTCATCAAAGGCTTTTATTTGTTTACTGCAATGTGATGCATAATCACATATGATGCTTCTATAAAATGCTTTTTTTAAATGTAGAATTACTGCTATTTATTCAGCCACTGATTATCTGATTGATTGTGCATAAACTCCACCTTACATTTTTTTTCATTTTTTTATAATTTTATTTATTGAATCACCATGAGAGCAGTTACAAAGTTTTTGGGTCTAAGTCTCGGTCATACAATGAAACACCCGTACCTTTACCAGTATCCATTCTCCACCCCCAACAACCCCAGTATACCCCCATCCCACACCCTCCCCCTACCTGTGGGGTAGTCACTCTCTACTTTGATATCATTCTATATTTTGACACCAGACCCACCATTATTATTTGACATTTTACCCCAACACTCAGATCTGCTGAAAAGGCAACAGTAGACAATTTGTTTTCTATTGCTGATTATGAATAACATACGATATTGTGTGGCTGCAGTAGTGGCTCTGCGATTTTGAAATTCCAAAATTTTAACACTTAAATCTGGAGGAATTTCTGCTAAAACCTGCTGGGTTCCGAGATTTGCTCCTGAGTCTCTGAGATCATGGCCGTTAAGCAGCTTGATCAGGAGCCAGAAAGACCATTTGTGGGCGATGACTTGGGGTCTCGTTGGGGTGGGGAACACAGGACCGGCTCCACCCCCATCCCGTGAGGCCCAAAATTACTTGTCACTGCAGGCCCAAATCTGACTGTCCAATGACCTCTGGAGGATGACAGCCACCGAGCGCCAGAGGGAAGCAGGCGGAGGGACAACACCCTATCCCCCCTGGGGTGGCCTGGTGACAGTAACCTACGGTGGGATCTGGACGCATTTCTGCCAAAAGCCGCTGGGTATCGAGATTTGTTTCTGAGTCTCTGGGATCATGGCCGTTAAGCATCTTGATCAGAATCCAGAGACGCCGTTCATGGGCGATGATTTGGGGTCTCGTTAGAATGGAGAGGACAGGACTGGCTCCACCCCCATCCCGTGAGGCCCAACAAGTTTCGTCACTGCGGGCCTAAGCCTGACTGTCCAATGGCCTCTGGAGGATGATGGCCACTGAGCCACCAAGGGGGAGCAGGTGGAGTGACAGCACCCTTTCCCCCCTGGGGTGGCCTGACAACAGTATCCTACTGTGGCCATTAAGCAGTTCAATCAGGAACCAGAGAGGCCATTCCTCCAATTATATAGCTGAGCCCGAGGTGGTTTGTGGGTGTTTCCCACATACCTAACTTTTGGCTGTTTACTTTCTTGGTAACTTTGCCCCAAGTTTTTGGGGTCTTGCAAAAGGCACAGCAGCAATTTTGGGGTATCTGGAAGTCTGAAGGCACCATCAGGCTGCTGATTCACTCGCCTCACAGGTACAGATTGACCTGCTGGTGGCACCATATCACCGAAAATGCTTTTCTAATGTGTTTTTTCATGTGTAATAAGGTAGTAGGAACTCTTGAAGGTTTTAGCACATTTATCATATAAAAGTGTTTTATCCCTTTTATGAGTTTACTGATGTTTTATTTAGTTGACTTTAGGATAAAAGTTTCTCTACATTTGCAGCATTCATAGGGCTTCTAGCCCATTTGACTTCTCTTGTGAACATCGAGATTGGTATTTGACTGACAGCTTTTGCACACTTTTGACAGCATTTCTAAGGTTTTGTTTCTTTTTGCTTTTTTCTTTTTTGGGAGGGCTGCACTCAGTGCTTCTCAGGGCTGACTCTGGGTTCTATTGTCAGGTATCACAACTGGTGGGGCTTTGGGGAACATATGGGGTGATGAAGATAAAACTCATGCAGCTTCACAAGGTTTCTCTCCAGTATGAACTGTCTGTACAATAAGTTTTTTTTCTGGATAAAAACTCTATCACATTCAGAACTTTCATAGAGTTTATCCTCAGTTTAAATTCTCTGACTTTATTAAGGGCCGTTGTGGTTGTTTAAGTTGATGTGTATGGACTGATTCCAAGCCCCACTGCTATCACTTTCCAAAGCACAAATACAGAGACATGCTGGCCAATACTTGGCAAAACTAATTTTGTACAGAATCAAAGTGAAGACCAAGACAAAAATTTTATTATTGATCTAAAATGATGTGGGAATTTCAAGTGATAGGGAAAATGAGAAAATGAGACCTAAATATTTTCAGTGATTTCAAGATCATAAGGCACAAATGTTCAGGAGACCGTTAAAATATTTCTACTTAAAACTTTCAGAAGTGATTTCTATGCTTATTAAAGATGACCAAGAAAGACCTTCATTGGTCAAGGAAATTTAAATGAAGGCTATTATGTACAAAATTAAAAGCTTAGTTCTGTAATTCAATATAAATGATTGTAAGTTAGGAGAAAGAGCACAAGCTTGAAAACTAACATAAAAACTCATCTTATTACTAGCAGGTTTCTAATAGTAACAAACTTCTCATAGTAACACTGTCCTCCCGTTGTTCATCGATTTGCTCCAGCGGGCCCAGTAACATTATGAGATTTCGTTTTTTTTTTAAATTTTTATTAGTGAAACACCGTTAGGTACAGAGGTACAGTTGTAGAATTACAAATTTTGTGCTTGGGTTTCAATTATACAATTATCAAGTACCCATCCCTCCACCAGTGCACATTTTCTACCACCACTGATCGCAGTATCCCTCCCACTGCCCATACCCTCCATGCCACCCTGACTATGTGGCAGTGAATTCCCATTTGTTCTCTCTCTCCTTTTGTGTGCGGTGGTTTGCAAAAGAGATATTGAGTGGCTATCATGTTTGGTCTATAGTCTACTTTCAGCAAGGGACAGGTACAAAAAAAACTACAAAACGCTACTCCAAGAAATAAAAGAGGACATGAGGAAATGGAAACATATCCCCTGCTCATGGATCGGGAAAATTAACATTGTCAAAATGGCAATACTGCCCAAAGCACTGTACAAATTCAATTCAATCCCTATAACAATACCCACGAAATTCTTCAAAGTAATGAAGCAAACACTCCTGAAATTCATATGGAACAATAATCACCCATGAATTTGCTAAAGCAAATTTTGGGAAAAAGAAAATTGGAGGAATCAACCTCCCCAACTTCAAACTCTACTACAAAGCAGTAACAATTAAAACAGCATAGTACTGGAACAAAGGCAGAGCCACAAACCAATGGAATAGGGTGGAATATTCTTACACACAATTCCCAATATATGAACATCTAATCTTTGACAAGGTAGCAAGAAATGTGAAGTGGAGCAAGGAAAGCCTCTTTAACAAATGGTGCTAGCATAACTGGAAAACTACGTGCAAAAAATGGCCTTAGACCTCAACCTAACACCATGCTCAAAAGTCAGATCCAAATGGATTAAAGACTTCAACATCAGATCAGAATTTGTAAGGTACATTTAAGACAAGGTTGGCAAAACCCTACATGATATTGAAGCTAACAGTATCTTCGAAGATGATACATCACTGACCAAACAAGTGAAGACAGAGATAAACAAATGGGACTATCTTAAACTAAGATGCTCCTGCACCTCAAAAGAATCAGTGTCCAAAATACAAAGACAGTCTACAGAATGGGAAAGGATTTCCACCCAATTCCCATCTGATAAGGGGTTGATTTCAAGGTTATACAAGCTTGAACTCCACAAGAAGAAAACATCCAACTCCATCAAAAATGGGGTGATGAAATGAACAGAATCTTTCTCAAAGAATAAATCTGAATAGCTAAAAGGCACATGAGAAAATACTCTATATCAGTAGCCATCAGGGAGATGCAGATCAGAACAACAATGAGATATCATCTCACATCACAGAAAGTGGCCCATATCCAAAAGAACAAAAGCAACAGGTGTTCGTGCGGATGTGGAGAGCAAGGGACTCTCCTTCACTACTGGTGGGAATGCCGACTGGTTCAGCCCTTTTGGAAAACAGTATGGACGATTCTCAAAAAATTAAAAATTGAGCTCCCATTTCCACTCCTGGGAATATATCTCAGAGAGGCAAAAAAGTATAGTTGAAATGACATCTGCACTTGTATGTTTATTGCTGCACTGTTTACAATAGCTAAAATCTGGAAAAAACCCAAGTGCCTGAGAACAGATGACTGGTTAAAGAAACTTTGGTACATCTACACAATGGAATACTATGCCGCTGTTAGAAATCATGAAGTCATGAAATTTGCATACAAGTGGTTCTTCATGGAAAGTATCCTGCTACATGAAATGAGTCAGAAAGAGAGGGACAGACACAGAAATATTGCACTCATCTGTGGAATATAAAGTAACAGAATGGGAGAAGAACACCCAAGAATAGTTGAGATAAATACCAGGAGGTTTGCTTCATGGCTGGGAAGTTGGCAGCACATGCTGGGTGAAATGGCAGCTCAGATAGATAAAGGAACCCCAAGTAAAAGGGTTTTTGGATGATCCTCTCGGGATCCTTTCATCCTGAAAGTAGATTATAGACTGAACACGATGGCCATTCAATACCTCTATTGCAAACCACAACACCCTAAAGAGAGGGCAAAAGGGAATGCCCTGCAACATAGGCGGGGTGGGGCCGGGGGGTGGAGTGTGAGCATGTTACTGGTATCATTGGTGATGGAGATTGGGAATTGGTGGAAGGATGGGTACTCGATTCTTGTATAACTGAAACCCAGGCACGAAAGCTTGTAAGGCTACAACTGTACCTCATGGTGTTTCACTAATAAAAACTAAATTAAAAAAAGTCTGAGAGAGCTAGAGCTCAAGTTGGATAATACGTGTTTAAAATATATGAGACCCAAAGCCAGTTTTCTCCCCTGATCTGCGCAGGACGGGCACAGAGGCCCAGCTCTGGGCAACCAAGCTGAACGGCTCCTATTTCAACCAGGTACAGCCCGCCCCCAACGGCCTGGGACCCTCTCTGCACATGCACAGCTAGCTCCATCTCCTAGAAAGCCGGTTTTCTCCCCTCATCTGCGCGGGACGGGCACGGAGGCCCAGCTCTGGGCAACCAAGCTGAACGGCTCCTCATTCCAACAGTAGACGTTCCCAACTCCTTGCTCAGTGCAAGGGACTTTTTCCGGAGCTGCGGCCGCATTAGCGGCCGTGAAATATTTTCCCACTATACGCCATAGGAACCATAAGCTACCTTCTTAGATGGAAACTCCTCTCGTTTAGCGCAGCCACTAGAAACACAGTAGTCAATAACTCATAAGCCTATCTTAATACACACTGCATATAAAGCAGAATAGCAACAGTGAACGTGAAGGACTAAACCACACCTCTCACAATGGTAAAGCAACGCAAAAACCACCAAACTTTCATATTGAAGAGTCTAGCCCAGATGACACCAACAGTACTGTAGTGTTAGACAACCTCTCTGACAAGGAATTCAGAAGGGAGCTACTTAGGATGCTTAGGGAACTAAAAGAAACAATGGAAAGCAATGCAGAAATGAGGAAAATGCAATCGGAAATGTCAGACCTGAAAAATCTCATAGGCGAATTGAAAAACTCAGTGGAAGGCCTCAGCAGCAGAGTAACAGCTGCTGAGAACAGAATCAGTGAGCTCGAAGATGAAGTTCAGAGAATCTCCAGAAAAGAGCAGAAAACAGAAAAGAGACTCACAATTCGGGAACAGATGGCAAGAGAAGACCGTGATGAAGCCAAGAGGGGTAACATAAGAATTATTGGAGTCCCAGAGGTACAGGAAGAAAACCTTGATGAAGAAGAAACTGTCAAAGACATCACTACTACAACGTTTCCAGAGCTGAAGAAAACTTGTGACCACATTCAGGAGGCCCGAAGGGTACCAGCTAGAAGAAATCTGAATAAAAATACCCCAAGACACATTCTGATCAAAATGACCAAAACCTTAGACAGAGACAAAATTCTGAAAACAGCAAGATCGAAGAAAGAAATCTCTTACAAAGGAGCATCCTTAAAATTCACAGCTGATTTTTCTGATGAAACCCTCATGTCCCGTAAACAGTGGTGGGACATAGTAAAAAAACTCAATGAAATAAATGCCTCCCCAAAAATACTTTTCCCAGCAAGACTCTCATTCATAATAGAAGGAACAACACACAGTTTCACAGACAAACAACAGCTCAGGAACTTCATAGACTCAAAACCATGGTTACAAGAACAACTAAATGGGCTACTTTAAGGCAAGAAAGGCCCCTCAAATACACCAAATTTCAACAGAACAATGGGACAAAATCCCATAACAATAATCTCTCTCAATGTCAATGGGCTAAACGCACCAATTAAAAGACATAGAGTGGCAGGATGGATTAGAAAATTGAACCCAACATTCTGCTGCCTGCATGAAACGCATCTCAATAGTCAAAGCAAACACAGACTCAGAGTAAAAGGCTGGAAAACAATCCTACAGGCAAACAGCTCCCATAAAAAAGCTGGGGTAGCCATCCTTATATCAGACCACATCGATTTCAGAGTGATGAAGGTCATAAGAGACAGTGAAGGCCATTTCTTATTGATCAAAGGATCTGTACAACAGGAAGAACTTACAATAATAAATGTATATGCACCTAATGAGAGACCAGCAAAGTACTTAAAACAACTACTCATAGATTTGGAAAAAGACATCAATAGCAACACAATACTAGTGGGAGACTTCAACACTGCTTTTTCACCTCTTGATAGATCAACCAGACTCAAGCTTAGCAAGGACATACTTCAATTGAGGGAAACAATGGAAGAAAGGGACTTAGTAGATATATACAGGACACTTCATCCACAAAAAGCTGAATACACATTCTTCTCAAGCGTACATGGAACATTCTCCAAGATAGACCACATGCTGAGCCACAAAACATGCCTCCGTAAAATTAAGAAGATAGAGATTGTATCAACAATCTTCTCAGACCATAATGTGCTAAAATTAGAAGTAAATCACACACAAAAACAGAAAACTAAATCAAACACC